TTGCCTAGAAGTTGATTACCTGCCCCTCTCCTCTACCCCTGTTGTCGTGCTCTCATAGACCAATGTGGAGAAACATTTCCATTGTCCATAGCCTCCCTACTCCACTTTCATTACTGTTCCCTCATCCTTCCTCCTCCTTGAGCCCTACTGTTGTGTTATGTACACCATTGAACTTCAATCCGCAATGAATTCAGAAGTTCCTATTCACACATGCAATTGCAGAGTAGACCCGAAGTAGGCAAATCCGCACAAAACCGTAGACAAGATATGCACATCGGAAGCTCAAAATACACAAGAGAATTGAAAAACGAATTTCAATTCTACAATCCCCTGACCTCCTCCAATCAATCCAGAGTACTTGTTCCAAGAATCACACCCGCATTTAAAACAACCCCGAATCACACCCGCATTTAAAACAACCCCGAACAACCAAAAACAAGTGTTCAACAAAGTATGCAGGAGTCTTCTCCTTCCTCCTCCCCTGGCTATGGCTGCTGTAGCGGCAGTAACCGCACAGCCGTCACAACTTGCCCATCTGAACCAGCAACCCCAATGATAGCAGCGCCAGCTCAGTGCCCGCGTGGAAGTGCAGTGCTGGAAGTCCTGATGAAGAAGGAGACAACCGATCCAGCACTTTGAAGAAGATGAAGTTCCTCATGAGGAGGAACAGCAGATATGGCTGCCAAGTGGAAAATGGCAGCACCCAAACCCAACAACACAGTCCTGTGGAAGCTGTCATGCAGAGCTGCGAAATAGCAGCAGTGCGATCTTCAACTTTGTTTCCCAACCCCAGCCATGGCTGGGCTTCGAGGAAGAAGATGACCTCGTCCATAATAGAGCAGCAGTGCTCCAACAACGGATGGGCAGAGTTTCCCCAGCCAACGAAAATGTGAAAAGACCCCAAACCAATGTCCTACCCGCTACTTCTGCCCACGGACTAGACCTTGACGGACTCCCAAGATAGCAGACCAAGGCTCATCTGGATCTACCCAGAAACTAGGTAAAAGGGGACCCAAACCCCTGGCAAAGCAAAAGGAAAAGGCCGAATGGCCTAAGACTGCCACATAGGGACTACTTGTCCAATAGGTCTCAAAACTAACAAACAAAACATACGACTTACAGGTCACGGGATCAAGTCCAGCAAGGCTCAAAACAAGAAAACAAACTACGAATCCAAACACTTAGTTTACAGCCCCACGGGTAAGCTGCGATTTATTGCATTCTTACCCTCCTGGGGAGCGAGGAACCACGAGCTACATAACCAACTACCAGGCAGATTGGCGGAGAGTTATTAGCTAGAGGGTCACTAAACGTCCATAGTGGTGGAGAGCTCAAAGACATCAGAATCTCAGAGGGTTATGGTGAGATTATCAGATTAGATTGATTAGTTGAGGGAACGGTTACGGGGACTTACCTTTCGCTATGGTTGACTGCTGGGAGCATCCCCAAGGTTGGCGCCACTTCAAGAAGACCCTTTTAGGGTTGCACTGGACAGAGACTGCATCCAAGAGTGTGGTTTTGAGGTTGCTGGTAAATGATAAAAAAGTAGGGACTGTGTTGTTCTTTGTACATTCAGTTTGACCAGCAGGATGACCCAGAACTCAGTCGTGCCACCAGGAGGACTGAACGAGAGACGTTGAGCTGAACGGGGTTTTGTTTCAATGACAGCGGAGGGGAGATTCACTGTACAATGTACATTGAATCGTTGTTGCTACTTGATGGTTCATTCATTCTTTGATTATAATTGATGTATACGAGAAGGAGAGTTTGAACGTTATGACGAGGTAGCAGGATGGAGGGAGATGACATTTGGAGTATTGTGTTCTTCTTCTTTCTTCTCCTTTCTTCTTCTACTTCACTCAATCTCGTATCTTTCACGCTGGCTCTGTGATGCAAGGCATTCTCTCAAATTTCAGTTTTGTATCACAATTGAAGGGTTACGAAAACAAAAAAAGGAGCACAACACTGAGATGCGAGTGCTTTTATTGAATCGACCTTTCTTGAATACCTGTATGATTGACAGGAGGAATTTGATGTGAACGACTATCTGCAGACAGTAAGGTAGAGGAGTAACAAAAAGAGGACACATCAATGGAGGCCCTGGAGGAGGATGACAAGAAGGTGGAGGTCAAGTGCCGTATACCGCCAATACTTTTATAGACAGAATCTTCTGGACCTGACAGGCTGTGCCTAACCCTATGAACTTGTCAAGTCGTCAGATAATTCGACAAGCACATATGCTGAAGGAAATGACAGCAACAGGCTGTGCCTAACCCTATGAACTTGTCATTTCGTCAGATAATTCGACAAGCACATATGCTGAAGGAAATGACAGCGATAAAGTGTGTTACACACAAACTGAAACAGCCTTCTTATCTTCTTCACTGCCAATCCTTTAAAGGCGAGGATGGTTTGTCCTCAAGTTCCTCAACCAATTGTCTGCCAAGATGTTCTAACATACGAGCGCTAGAACAGCTGGCCAATCTGGCCTGGAATCAGGGCCATACCTAACTTTGCACTGCGTGAACGTGACGGACATGGAGGCCCTGGAGGAGGACGACAAGATCATGGAAGTCGAATGCAATACGCTTCCAATCCTTACTTTCTGAATCTACAGGTCTTTGCATGCTGTGTCTAACCCTATAAATCTTCATTTGATCACAGAGTTGAAGGAGATTGCTGAAGGAAGTCACAGGGATGAAGTATGTGTTGTACATAAACCATACGTGCAAGTGCATGCCATGTGGGCAATCGTACATGTTCTGCGCACGAGGCCACTGGTCCCATGCGGCAGACGGGCACGTACGGCGCACAAGCATGGAACGTGGAGGCCGAATGCAACACACTTTCAATCCTTGCTTGCTGAATCTACAGGCCTTTGCTTGCTGTGTCTAACCCCATAAATCATCATTTCATCACAGAGCTCAAAAAGCTTGCTGAAGGAAGTCACAGGGATATAGTCTGTGTTGTAGACAAACCATACATGCAAGCACACGAGATCCGCGCGGTGGATGTGGGCACGTACAGTGCATGAGCATGCGGAAAATAAAACAGCTGGGAGAGTAATGTCGCCACCGAATCATCAAGACAGATGTATCAGAGACCTGTTTGAGGCTACTTCTGATGTTCAACAGGATCTCTTCCTTAGGTAGGAACACCCTTCTGCATGTGTGAAAACAGCAACAACAACAAAGAAAAAAAACTGAAATTGTTGCTGGTGCGGCCCACGGCCAGGTTCCGCACGGCACACTGCACTGAACGGCCGTGCGGCTTGTGTGGCTGCAAGTATTACACAAACTGATGTGTTGAAGGAGGCTGGCTACTTCAATTTATGCCAGGAAGTTGGCAGATGTCGAAGCGGCCAATGATACTGCCTTCTTGTCTTCCGCACCCAGCCAATTCCATAAAAGGCTGGCACGCTTTGTCCTCAACAAACAAGAGGTTCTGACAAACGAGCCCTCGCACTACACAAAGTGGAACAGCCGGGGGATCTAGTCTGGAGCCTGGCCCCATACCCAACCGTGCTAATAGAATGCTTTAGGTCTTGAACCTCGTGCCCAAATAATGTTGGTTGAACTAGTGGATGACATGTGAAGAATATGGTTCCGCATTGCCCCAGAACGAATAAGGGGATGTGCAACCAAGTATTCTGTTTTTTTTTTGTTTTTTTTTTTTGAGAATTCACATTACCTTTCCAATGAAAGAGAGGAGGCTGAAAATGTTCACATTCTGGGGCAATTACCCAGCTCCGGCTTGGCTGGAAACTGGGCCCAGCGCCTCGTCACTTACCCTTTTGTCCAATGTTTCGTCCATCGCGAACAACACTTCGAAACAAAAGGGAATTTATAACTGGAGAATGGAACTGCGAAGGACAAAAACTCCTAAAAGGTTCAAACTTCAAATAGCGCCAAGTCATCGTTTTCACCATGTCTGAGTTCTGGACATCTGAGGATACCAAAGTTTCCTGGATGCGGAAAAGCTTCAGAGCTTCTAAGGTGTGCACCTTATCCTCCTTCATCCAATGCCCGAAGGAGGTCCGAGGTTCCAAGATGGGTTTCCCACCACCACACACCCCATGGGTACACCTCCACTCTTCCCTTCCTTACCTTGTTAAGCGTCCAAAGGTGCAAGTTCTACCACAACTCTTTTAGATATTGAAAATCAACCCCTCATGTTTGCTCCCTCAACTTCTGTACGAGCGCTGTAACTCAGAAGAACTTCAAATCTTATGCTTTCCCCGAACCAGTATTGATCCCACCTCCACCTGAAGCTCTACCACTGCTTCCAATAGCGTCACGACCGGCAACCACCTAGGTGGTTAACTCCAATCTCTGCAAGCTGCGGATATAGACCATCTCAACAAAATATTAATTGCCCTCCGTGTGACCATAATTGTCCTCCGTGTGACCATACTCCATGACCAACCCTCGGTCTGAGATCTTGGCATCGTAGAATTCACAGGACGGCCTATGGATTTCTATGTCGATCAAGGCCTTATCTAAGGAACGGTCCAGTGTTACTGGTTTAAATTCTGATTGATAAAATGATTTAGAGGGGGCGTGGAGTGGCTGTGGATCGTGATATTGATCACAGGTCTCACGATTCTTCGGTTTTTGGTGAGTCCTGTGATCTAGCTAATTCTAACACTTCGTCCTATGTGAGATGTCCCAGAAAGTGTGTACTGGAGTAAACAAACACATTCATGCAGCTCATCGGCCACCTTTGCTGAAAAACTCCGTCGTGGTCTAGTTCTTGTGTTTGTGATGTTCTCTGCGAGATAAGGAAATCAAATGTCACACTGATTTACATCCACGACTACCTTGGAGAATTGTACGTCTTCAATGGTGGTAGAACTGCTCAGTGGGTAAGCAGGTGCACTGCACAGCATTTATTATTATGGCTGGATTGGTAATGGCCACAGTGTGTTTGCAACTTCCCAGGCTTTCTTTTCGGTGATAAGCGCAGCTTTATGATATCATAGATATTTTGCATTTGTATGGTGGTTGATGGCTTGTTTGACATGTTAAGTTGCTGGGACGTCGCTCGAAACTCCTCGATGATACCCATTGTTCCTGGTGATCCAGGCCTTGACAGCACTGGCTACTGAGAAGGGGAGAGGCAGAACAGAGATATGGACGAATGTGAGGAAGAATGGGCCTCCGCAGTACGGGAGACCAAGGAAGACATTGAACGAGTAGCCAAGAAACAGGGGCTGAAGAAAACTGGCTTGGTCTCGAAAGTGCGCAGGCGGATTAAAATGCTACAAACACAGGTCCGACAGCTGGAGAGGGTGGTTCAAGAAGCTGAGAGGCAAGTTTGTTTCGAGTCTTGCGTGCTGCTGATTCTGTTTCTTTCCTCCTTCCCTTTTCACTTTTCTCACCTCTTTCTTTATTGATTTCCTCTCTTCGAGAGGCTGACAACCGAATTATTTTGGAGGCTTTCTCCCTGCTGATTCATTCATCTTCCTTCTTGCTCTTGCCACTCTTTTCTCTCTCTCTCTGTCGTCCTTTGGAGTTTGTCTGTCTTGTTGAGTTCCTGGAAAGCTAATCGTTGTGTAATTGGCTTGAACTGCTCAACGAAAGCCTTTAGTTGTGCCCCGGATATCTGATAGCCCTGTTGTCTAAAGTTCTCCTCAGCTATGTCAGGTGGTGACTAGATACTACAAAACTACTCAGCCTTGAGTCCTCGTTTTAGGTTTCATTATGTGATGCATCTGTTTTGTTGAATTCTTTGCAGGACACCAGGTTCTTGTCATGCCTCAGCCCTGTTGGTGTAGTGTTGCATGTCTGGACAGCCCTGAATCCCAAAATTGATGCATCTGTTTTCTTCAGTTGTTTGTATGACACCAGGCTGTTGTCATTCTTCACTCCTGTTGGCGTGCTCTTGCATGTCTGGACAGTGACACACATGCCAAAAAATGGAAAACAAATGAACAATTCAGTGAACCTTATTTTGCCGAATTGAGAATTCTAGGCTTGCTAAACTTGCCAGCCTGAAAGGTTGGACTTATCAGGTCACTGTGACTCGGATCAATGTGTGGATAAGTTTTGCACCAAATTCTCTTGTGGGCAGTGATCACAAATATTTCTCTGATTTTCTGTCTTTTCCCTGGCACAGTAGAACCTTCCATAGATTCCTGATTTCATTCGAATAATTTTGATTGTCAACATGAGGTTACAGTTTGCTCCCTTGGTACTGCGTTCTTTACCTGCTTGTACACTGCCGTGATTTTGGCTGGCGGGGTCGAACTGGCAGTCTAATGCTGTGAACTTACAACGATGCTCTTGATAGACCTTCGCTCATCCGCATACCTTCAACCACCAGTACGAGATTGGTAATTCTCTCCTGCAGTGCAAAATGAATTCCCATCAAGTACATATCAAGCCGGCTGTAGGCAGGGAGGGTTGGTTCAAATACTGGTGGTTGAACACGTAAGCGAAAACATCAAAGTCTCACCTCAGCACATCAACATGTGAATCACACAAAAGGAGATTTAAGAGGAGGATAATATGAAGGTTGATGTGGTTCAAACTTCAAAACCCACTCCTCGCTACTTTACCCTGGCGCCTGATGTACACCAGCTCTTGACAATTCCAGCAAGGAGTATGGTGGGTGTTACTCTTTCAAGAGAAGATCACAGCCTGGAATGTGCCGAAGGTGCATGCTGGCTGCCATTGTCAAGCACACACTGTACCACCTCTCTCTGTCTATGTATGTGTGCATCCATGCACTCACACATGTCTCTGTTCCTCAGTCTGGGCATCTATGTGTCTTTGTCTATCCGTTCGGTGTTCTTTCATCCCTTCGCTGTCCCTCCCTTTATCCTTCCGTCCCTTCACTCGTCCGAATACCACTTTCATCGGCGAACAGCCGAACCCTTGGAACCTCGACCTTCCACTATTACTGATGGAGTAAGACTATGCCTTATCTGTCCGGTCATCCCTCCATCCCTCTGTCCATCCCTAAACCATCTCTCTATCCACCTGTTCATTCATCCATTCTTTGTTCATGGATTCCTCTGTCAGCCAATCTGTTCCTCCATTTCTCCGTCGGTCTGTCCGTGTGTTGTTGTTGAAAATATTGGCCATGGATGCTCCCTCAAAGCACTGCTAGCTAATATGTTTGGCCAGCCCAATTTTCCTCCCTGACAATTGAATGTTGCAAACAGGTGAGTGCTCTGCAAACTGGATGATGAGTGGGGAATTACAAGTAAACGAGAATGGTATGGACGTTTCCGAACGACATGGTGTCAGAGTGGATGACCTAGAACTGGGCAATAACTAAAATGGATTCTGAAGATATTGAGAGGAGAAGGAAGTGGAATGCACTTGGTGAAGAATTAGACTGCCTCGGCAGCACGGTCCCCAATGAAGTGGACAAGGCCAGAGCTGACGTAGACAATTAATTCAATTTGAGAAACAGAGAATGGTTATGATCCGGGTGACTGGGTAGCGTTGGGTGTTTGGAACTTGTGTCCGTGTGTCTGTCTGGCAACGTGGTCCTGCCGTGTCCACAGCCTGGATTGTTACCCGATCTTAAGATTTTGAGACCGCGTTTCAATCCGAGCTGTTGCCCAAGTCAGACTGGCTTAACGGCCTGCCTAGACGTAGGTTCCACATAGGTGCAACTGGTTTTTCCCAGGTCTCCACCGCCATGCACCAGCCGCCCGCCGCATGAAGTCCGCCATGTGCCTGCTTCCTACGGCTCAAAGTCTGCCACCGTGCTAGTCGTTTGTAACCATAGCCCCACATGGGAAAATGCAAAGCGACGTGTTAGCGGTTGTGGTAGAATCTGAACAGAAATGCTGTGCTGTAGTTGAAAACAGGACAAGCCTTTGTCAATAGGAGAAAACTATAGGAAATGAATTGTTGAGAGAGTGTCTCTGGGTCCTGGAGGGAAGAACTGTGTACTTAGTGGTGGAAAAACGAACCAGACGGGTGCGCTCCAAAATAGGAGGAACTAGTGAAAAGAAGAAGGAAAAATGACTGTGATTGATGCATTATTCATGTAATCTGTAGTGCCTCGCTCTCGCTGCTGTTAGAAAAAAGCATCCATGTACTTGATGGTGGAAAAGGAACCGGATGACTGCTCCCCAGACTGAGACGATCCTTGTGTTTGTCCGAAAAGGAGAAAGGAAGTGTTTTTATTCGTACGGTATTTGTAAGCTCTATTAGTTCGCTCTTGGTGTTGTGTTATATAACTGATTGAGATGCTATACCCAATACACTCGACGTGTTCCCACAAACACATGCAATTATGAAGTAGACTTGAAGAAGACAAATCCGCACCAAACCGGAGGGAGATAGACAGCGAAGCTCAAATACAAAAAAATAGAATTGAAGTAGAACTTTAATTCTTATTCCCCCTTCTCCAATCAATCAGATTATAATTCCTCCAGATATCATGTTTCAACTGCTGCAAAAAACAATTAAAACAGTTTTCAACAAAGTACATGGAGACTTCTTCCTCCAGTACCCCTGCTCAGCCCGTAGCTATGGCAGGCTGTTCAGCAAACAGCGAAAAGCCTTCGGATCGTTCAGTCCACCGTCATCACCTCTCACTCCCAAGCGCCAGCCAGGAATCGCACCAAAATCCTTTTCACAGGTTCAGCGCCCAACAAGGAGGGCAGTGCCACCTTTACTGACTAATGACCTCAATAGCTCAGTGGGTGGAGCTCTGATATCATAACTTGGAGGTCCCGGGTTCAACTCCAATACACAACATACAAACACATAACTCATAGCTGATTACCGACTAGGGGCGGGTGCAGGGGGGGGATGGGCTAGAGGTTTTCCCCGGCAGAGATCGGCCCTGTGGTGAACTGCTGCGACGATTACGGACCGATAACCCTGCCCCCTCGATATGACAAACAGATAACACATATCACACAACTCGTAGCTGATAACCGACTGGCGGGGGTGCAGGGGGGGGATGGGATGGAGGTTTTCCCTGGCAGGAATCGGCCCTGTGGCGAACTGGTGGGACGGTTACAGACCGATAACCCTTAGCAGGGGTGGAAAATGGCCCCATGCTAAAACACAATCTATAACTGATAGGCAACTGGGGTGCAAGGGGGGATGGGACGGAGTTTTTCCCTGAGGGGGGATGGGACGGAGTTTTTCCCTCGCAGGAATCGTCCCTGTGGTTAACTGGTGCGACGGTTACGGACAGATAACCTTGCCCCCTCAATATGAACTGGATAACTAACTATCCATGACCACATTACAAACCCGCCACCTTGTAGTTCAGGCAGCAGAGCACGTGTCTTGCAGCAAATCAACAATCACATTTAACTAGCAGACATGCAGAGTTGCAAACAGTGCAAAGCAGGCACAAGAGTAAAGAAACAGAGAATTTTTTTTTGAAAAAAGTATGATTAACTGTGAACATTGAACTTTGGATTTAGTAATTTATGTTCATAACTTCATGTATAACTTAAAAGTTCAAACTTTGCAGTTCAATTCAGAACGTCAGAGCCTTCAGACTGGCAGCACTGTCAGTGCTCTCTCTCTCTCTCTCTCTCTCTCTCTCTCTCTCTCTCTCTCTCTCTNNNNACATTTGCATCTGACAGCTCCTTAGTCCATACTCACACCGTGATTTCTTTTCAATGTATCTCTCTCTCTCTCTCTCTCTCTCTCTCTCTCTGTCTCTCTGTCTCTCTGTCTGTCTCTCTGTCTCTCTGTCTCTCTCTCTCTCTCTCTCTCTCTCTCTCTCTCTCTCTCTCTCTCTCTCTCTCCAACGGGCAGCAGCGGTGGGCGCGACGTTGAAACGGCCGCTTGAAATTGCTCGGGCCTGTGTGAAACCCGCCACCCCCAAGAGCTGCAGTGTCTTATGTCCGGACCTGTAGGCCCTTTCCGGTGGGGTGAAACAACACTGAAAAATCACCCCGTAATTTTTCGAGGGGCGGCCAGGACCCGATAAACGTCCTCGGCTGCCCCGTATATTTCTTTTTTTTGCCCAGGGGCCTCCATCCGGTCATCAGGACCGGACACCGGACTGTCTGGAACCCGGTCCGGACGTTCGGATGGTTACCATGAAAAAAACAGACAAAAAAAGGAGGGCAGTGCCAGGCTGCCAGCTCCCTTGATGGACAAGAAACCCCCTCTTGAAGAAGACAAATATGGCTGCCGTGAGGAAGAACCTTTGCCAGCACCTAACTCCCGTCGCAGTCCCCAGGTGGATATTGCCGCTTGCAGCACCGCTGTGCGGCTGCCCTTCCATCCAATGTGCTGCCCCAGCTATGGCCGCCGTCCACCTCCTTTCAGGACACTGACGTTCACCTCATGAACTGACAGCATCCCCCCAATAAA